TTCACTGAAAGGAAATAGCCAAGAGCTAGACACGGACCTGGTCAGCCAGTTAGATCTCCTAAAAATCTGAGCTTTGTTGAGAAGCTGAGTCTGATAGACTAAACAAAGTTGGGAGGCCAGTATAACTTATCTCTTCTGTTATCTTGCCTTCTCTTTCAAGCTCACATGTCCTGGTTTCTGGCACCAGTCTCAGGCTTAGCCTTAAAGCTCATCTTTGCAGAACGTGTTAGCTAATTGTCAACAATTTATGGTGCTTTTCTTTCAATGATAACTTCAACAGTATTAACATTTTTATCAAAGCTTCTTGAGGTTGGAGTTCATCTCTCATGGTGGGCTGTGAACTATGCTGACTAGTGGTGGGAGGTGATGGGTTGTAGTTTAAAATTACACCCTGCTGGGGATGATCCTGGCCAGGAGAATGTTCCCTTTTAATGAATTTCCACGTAGGTCCTAATGTCGCACTCCAAAAAGTAAGGATGACTCAGAGAGGTGGGGAATGAAGGGAGGTAGTAGTAGACGGAAACTTCACTTGCCCTACTGCCTCACGGTATGCTGTACCAAAGAAGAACTTTAAGGATCTAAAATACTCGTTTGTATTCATTTATACAAAAAAATTATTTTACTGAGTTCCTCTTCTGTGCTAAGTGAACTCTGCTGGTCTAGAAATAAACAAAAGTACAAAATCCCTGCCCTCAAAGAACTTGCAAATTCTAGCACCAACAGTAGAACATTAACATAGGAAATAAGTATACAAATGAGAAACGACTCATGGCACTCTTTCACTTCTGTGACACTGCGAAGAAAACGATAAAGTTTGGAAAAATTCAGGCACTAGTTAATGCTCGATGCCACCAGGTCACTTTGAGGCACATACTTGTCCCCTCCTCAGGCTTACGTATACTGGGAAAACTGATCTAAAGGCAGAACTGGTTTCCTTTAAAAACTGGGGTTTTACACCTTGACCTGTCTTCCTAAAATTTTGCATTTTTCTACACCTGACTTGTGCAACATCTTCCATCAGTCCCCCCAGGGGAGAGACGTTCCTGGGCACTCACCTCAGTGCAGCCTGTCTCCCACCAGCTCTCTGACGGAGCTCCCCACCACACTTGTTTGCTAGCATTTAGATACTTGCCTCCATCGCACCAACCAGTAATCTCCATGCTCATTTTTTGGTCCCTTTTGGATAAGCAATCTTGTCCAAGTCTATTTCAGTCACATGCCTAGCATGAGGTAAGTATCGTTTGAGAACCTATAAAAAGGCGATTCGCTCACAAGCAAGGCGAGCTTTCACTTATTCTTTTCACTCACTCTTGCTCTTTCCAGTCCACCCTTGTTTGAACTAGCTCTCTCACCTTTTCAGCTTAAAAACAAAAACAAAAAGAAACCTCTTTGCCCACCACCCCTCCAACATTCTCACTGCCCCCTTGAGTGAAAATTTGGGAATCCCTCTGCAGGTACAGTGTGACCTCTTTGCAGCTTCTCTTTCTCTCTTCTTTCTGCCAGAAATATTTGGGTCCTCCACCGGGTGGTGTTATTCGATCATGTGGTATAAGACATGCTCAGTGAGAATGGGACACAGACCAGGGCAGGGGAAAGACCTGACATAAGCCCCTTGGCTCCTAAGAGCCTCTGCTGCTCCAGGCCCCATACAGAGCCAATATCACTGGGAGGTCCCAGATGGGATAGGTGCTGTCTCCCTGCCTTCTCCAGATGGAATCCCAGTAACCATGAGCTTCTACAAGCATGGCTCTGGCATGCAGGTACCAGGACTATTTTCTGAACTGCAATGGGGCTGCCCGGCTCCCAGGCAACCTTTGATTCCAAAAGTCACGCCCACAACCCGCCCCCAGCACCATCTTACAGCACACAGCAGCAAAGAAAAAAAACAGCTGGAGAGCCCCCACAGCTCCCGGAGAATTTTCTGGGCCCCCTACAGAGCCGATATCACTGGGAGGTCCCAGATGGGATAGGTGCTGTCTCCCTGCCTTCTCCAGATGGAATCCCAGTAACCATGAGCTTCTACAAGCATGGCTCTGGCATGCAGGTACCAGGACTATTTTCTGAACTGCAATGGGGCTGCCCGGCTCCCAGGCAACCTTTGATTCCAAAAGTCACGCCCGCAACCCGCCCCCAGCACCATCTTACAGCACACAGCAGCAAAGAAAAAAAACAGCTGGAGAGCCCCCACAGCTCCCGGAGAATTCTCTGGGCCCCGTACAGAGCCGATATCACTGGGAGGTCCCAGATGGTATAGGTGCTGTCTCCCTGCCTTCTCCAGATGGAATCCCAGTAACCATGAGCTTCTACAAGCATGGCTCTGGCATGCAGGTACCAGGACTATTTTCTGAACTGCAATGGGGCTGCCCGGCTCCCAGGCAACCTTTGATTCCAAAAGTCACACGCACAACCCGCCCCCAGCACCATCTTACAGCGCACAGCAGCAAAGAAAAAAAACAGCTGGAGAGCCCCCACAGCTCCCAGAGAATTCTCTGGGCCCCGTACAGAGCCGATATCACTGGGAGGTCCCAGATGGGATAGGTGCTGTCTACCCGCCTTCTCCAGATGGAATCCTGGTGACCATGAGCTTCTACAAGCTCTGGCATGCGGGTACCAGGACTATTTTCTGAACCATGTGGCCGCATAAGCCACATCATGACATTTCCTCATATGCAAAATGATCAATAGAAAGTAAATGATCTAGCATTAGTCCCTGAAAATCAGGCTTGAATGGCGGTGAGAAAATCTAAGCAAAAGATAATGCCCAACCAAAATACATCTGGACTGCGTATTTAACTATGGTGCTATGCCGTCTTGGAAGGGGAAGGGTGTCTGTCCCTCCGCCTGTCCCCCTTTACAGTGGTGACATGGTGGCCTGCATCTTTTAGAGCCTAACGAACAGCCGGGTATGAGACTGAATTGACGAGGCACATGGGGCTTCATGGGATGGGGATGGAATCGGCCCTGCTCCCTGTCATGACAATGCTCTGGGTTGCCACCCTCAAACACCTCCTCGGGCTTCTGACCAACCATCATCCCAGAGGCACACATACCATTCTCAGAACCCAGTGGCTTCTGGCAGTAATCCCTCTAGGTTTATTACTAAAATATCAGAAATCCAAATTTGCGTGGCCACTATTGTGTCCACACGACATCATGTGCTCTTCATAATCAGTAATAGAAAACAAATTTTCTAATGATGTCTTTGTGGCAGGTCTGAATGTTGGGGACAATTCCAAATAACAATGTTGGGTCTTTTGTCATAATATTGAATGTGATCAACGTAAAGAGAGAGGGTAAAGTGAAAATCTGCCACACAGGTGGGGGGTGGTTGGGAGGGGGGCTATACTGGGGTTCTTGGTGGTGGAAAATTTGCACTGGTAAAGGAATGGGTGTTTGATCATTGTATGACAGACCGAGACTTGAACTGAAAGGCTTTGTGACTGTTCTCACGGTGATTCAATAAATAAATTTAAAAAAAAGATCCTCTGCTGGATATAAAATGCCCCCTGGTTAATGTCTCTCAGGCATCGGAGCTCATCTTTCTGAGTTTTGTCCAACCCATTCCCAGGCCCACCCAGTTCAGGAGTGTGCAGGGCAGATGTGGAGACAAGTGAGCCATACCCATTTGCTTCTGGTTGGAAAAGGGTGGGGTGTCTTGTGTGCCTCACCATTCAGACATTCTTCATGCTGCTATTTTTATCAACAGTAATCATCAAATTGGTGGCAGATGGGCTGGTCTAGTTCCTCACCCGGATTCTGGGTGATGGGACTCAGCAGGTTTTTTGCAGGCAAGAAGAGATGTGGTATGTGACCCAGATGAATGCATATCCAGAGTCCTAGCCTCATAGCAACAAGCCCTGGACTGTACTCCTTTTATAATAAGATCAAGGTCATTACCATTCCTGATTTATTCTTGACCTGATTCATTTTGCAGACATGGGTTGAGCACTTTCTAAATGCCAGGCATTGAATAATACTTGAGGGAGTCACAAAATATATAACTATTGTCTCTACTTTCTAGAAACTTACGTTTCACAAAAAAGAGGAGATTGTTATGTGAGCTGACAGGGTCTACAGACTCATTTGGGGGTCCACAGCAGAGAGAGCCCTTGTTTTGCCTGAGCCTCAGCAAAGCTTTCCTTAGAGGTGGTAACACTCAACAAAGTCTTCCCAGCTAAGTGGAGGAGACTGAATGAAAACACACACACACAAAAAAAAAATCTAGGGATTTCCAAAGTGGCATGAAATGAACTCAAGAGTCATCATAAACCACGCTGAGAAGTCAGATTTCTTCAAGGAAGTGAGGCTAACAACTACACAGACCCTGGTAATAGAAAGTTGAGGACTCAGGGCAGATGTCACCCCTGCTACCCTCAGGGGGTAAGCCAAATCTAGTCAGCACTGAGGGTTGGTCCATAATGACAACAGTGACAGTGACAGGAAGCTGAAGTTAGACTGAGTGAGGGATTTCCACAATGGTCTGCTCAAAGGTTTTAGATTGAGAACCTACCTCCCCCCATATACATCTACACACATGGTACACACAAATGCACACACACCACACACAAGCATGCTATACATATATCACACTAGAGCTACATGAGACAAGGAGAATTCATTATATGTATACTTGTGGATTCTACACCTTTCAGTTCAGATTATACTTCATGTACCTACATGCCTAGAAATTCATGGTGAAAATTAACAGAAAACCAAAACAAAGCTTTTGGGAGATACCACATTGATGGGTATTGGCAGAGGGGTCGTCTGAAGTTTTACTCAGCCTTCAGAAACTCTAGTTTTTATTTCCTCCCACCAGACTTCCCATCCTCTCTACAAAGGCCACATAGATATACAGATGCAGCCTAGAAAGGGGCAGCTGGTGTCCCTGGAAAGACCTCAGAGAGTCTGTGGTCAACTGGAAGAGCCTGGGGCTGCTATTTGGTCAACAGCCTCTGCTGATACAATGTCTGAAGTCATTTCCCTGTATCTCCAAACAGGAGTGAGAGAAGAAATGTCATTAGGACGCCAGGAAGCTTTTGAAATCTTCAAGAGGGACCATGCTGACAGCATTACCATCGAAGACAACAAACAGATTCTGAAACAGAGGTAAGACGGGTGCCATAATTCACTGGTCCTCCAAGACTTAGCTAAGTCTGTTCACGAGAAAGTTGTTGTTCCATTCTCTCTGATCAGCACAAGCTAACGTCCAAAAGAAAGACAAGATGACATGTATTCAACTTCATATTGAATTATGTCCAGCATCGGTCAATTTGCTTTTCTATTTGTAAGCCTCCCTATACAGCACCGTCAGAGCAACATCAGGGCAAATGCTGACTGACAGCTTTAACTCTGCATGCCACTCTCATATGCAGTGAACCTTAACTGCCAATACTTACTGTTCCTGTGGTGGGGGAAGTTTATGGGTCAAATCAGACCTTAGAATCCCAGGATCTCTTTCACATCATAGAAGAAAGGCTGGGATGACCCATGAACTAGATGCCTATCCCTAAACTGTAGCAAATTAGAAGGTGTTTATTGGGGTTTTACTCCTGCAGACTAACACTTAGCTAAATGCAGGGCTATGGACTGGCACCTATAACCAAGAAGATTGACCAACTTTTCTACACCTGTGCACCCACAGTAGTCTGTGGACCACTGATTGAAGACCGCTGTTCTGCAGCTCAGAAGAGAGAGTTCAGGACTATGGACTCATAGGTCACAATGACTCTGGATCCCAGTGACAATAACTTCAGAAACTCTGTGTTGAATTCAAGTGAGATTTAAGAATGAGAATCGCATGTTCATTAATGACCATTCAAGAAGTCAATCAGAGAAATTAAATAAATACAGGACTAGACTCTAGGAGAAAACTCTAGAGGAAAGGAAGAAAAGAGAGGCCAGAATGGATGCTGAGAAGGGAAAGAAAGAACCAAGAGAAGATGTTGTCCTGGAAGGCAGGGCAGGGGCCGGGGAAGGTGATGGCAGGCAGCCACAGTAGAAGTCTGTTGGTGATTGAGGTTCCAAAGTTGAGGAGGAAACCAGCAGGTGGTCATAAACTAGGCACTGGAAATTGGTGGTGAATCACAAGTAACAAAGCAGTGGAAAAGGAACTAAGCAAATAATAAGGAATTAAGCAACCAAAGAAGGAGAAAACAATATGTGCACAGTTTTCAAAATAAGTACCATTTTTGAAAGAGAAAAGGGGAGAAAACTTAAGAAGGAAAGTTTGAGCTTCTTCACAGCGGTGGAAGGTAATGGGGACAGTTGAAGGGATTGGTGTTGGAAAAATATATACCTGAAACTCAAATATCTTTGTAACTTTGTAATTGATGGTGATTCAATAGAGAAAAATAAGGGAAGTTTGTTAAAGAATTTGGAGAGTTGACTAAGTTTTCCAGCCTACATAGGAGCAGTAAGTGGCAAGAGAAAGAGATAGAAACACAAGGGTAAAGATGGATACAGCAGACTTGGAGGGACCGTCAGGAGGGAATCAGAAGACTAGGGAGAGGTGAGCCTGGGAGGAGGTCTGAATCGAACATCAAAGTGTGGCGGAACCGACAGACTGAGAAATGGAGGGAGAAAATAAAAGATGACCTCTATTTTCTCTGTGAAAGTTGAGGTAGACTAAGAATCTTGGGGACGGCTAATAAGGTTTAATACAGCTGCCACAGCGAATGTGAGTGGGACAGCAAAAAGGGAAAGCAATCAGCTCTGAGGGCCCTGCTTAATCAATGAACCATAGGCTTACTCACTGCAGGGGCTGATATCACTTGAGGAATCTAGTAATGGTGACTGAAGTCGCTCGAGAGCAAAGTACAGCCCTTCTTAGTCAAAGAAAGAAATGCACACCTTTGAGCATTTCCACCACAATTCCACTTCCAGGGCTTTCTCCCCAACACTTCCCTAGTTGGTTTTGTAGAATATGGGGATTAAAAGTAAGGAATAAACCAGTGAATAGTGCCTTGATTCATGGAGCAAATCAAACAGCAACTGAACAGTCATTCTCGCCCCAGAAAACTGCCCATGTGGACATCCACACAACCTATAGAATAGAAATAAATGGTGCTCACCAGCCTTCTAAATGTTTGTTCAGATTTGTCTAGTCCCATGTTCTTAATGTAGAAAGCTGGGCATGTAGGAGTAAGTTATCTTGTCTGTTTGGAAATGTCAAGTTAGATGAGAGCTTCCTCCAGAAACATCTCAAAAGCCCCCAGTAAGACTTGTTCCCAAGACCTCAAGCTATCAGCACCTTGGCCTGACTCCCCAAATATAATAATTTTTTAGATAGACACAAGCATTCATCCCCCCCAAAAAAAAATTCCAATATGCAATCAGATTTGAAAACCACTGGCTAGACAGTGTCCAAAGACCTTGAGATCCAGAGCCTGAGAAGCAGGGTCACAAGAGCTCTACAGGTTGAACCAATTATCCAGCAAGACTTTTGTGTACTTAAGTTTAAGAACCACTGGCTTAAGAAGAACGTAATACCTCATCTTTCTTATTCTAGAATTGGCATGTATCCTGGTTTTGGTTTGAACCCTGGAGTGTAGGTCTGTTTCCAGCAGAGCCTGGGCTGGGGGTGACAAGGATGTGGATGTTGTGGTCTTCTGAAGGCTGTTCTTCTAATACAGAGTTCAATCAACTCTATTACAGTAGAATTTTGACAACCCGTGTGACAAATGTGCTTTGAGGTTTAAGGCCTCTAAATCACACAGGACAGGCTAGTAATACTGGTGGTCCCTTCTTCCTTGAGCCCATGGCACAAGGGAATTAATGAAACTCACTCAAAGCTTTGCTCTGAAAAGAGGTTTTCCCAGCAATAAATCAGTCTTTTCAAATAAAATGAAGTCAGGATACCAGTTCACATTAAAATTAAAATATATATAAATAAAAACAAAAAGAAAGAAGAAATCTACATCTGTTTAATGTTACTGCAATACCAATCATTAAAGGAATATTTGGTACTGTGGATGGAGGGTGGTAACCCAGAGCCAACCCCTTTCTCAGGATTGAAGCCTTTGTTTGCCTTCATGGGGAATATTCAATTATTAGACATTACATACTCATAACTGCTTAAGGCAGAGGAATAAGAGAAAATGTTTTTCATATGAAAATAAATAACTGCAAACCACTGAAGACTTCAAAATAAGACCCCATGGATGTTCATGCTGCCTTTGCTTTTGCGTCCCCCTAGTGCCAGAGAACCGTCCCCTCCACAGCTCTGCTCTCTTTCCTCTGTTGACTAGAAGCACACAGTGGGCCATCCTTGCAAGGGATCCCCAATTCTATGACAACAGATATTTTTTACTCAAGATAGCACTGCACAAATTCTGCTGGTAGCCTTTCTCTTGGAAAATTTCCCTTTCTAAAAGCTCTCATAGCAGATACCAGTGGATCAATGTCACATTTTAGTTTATTTCTCACATCAGGTCACTGTCATTTGATGTTTCAGCATGTTGAGAAATCCTGTTGGCAAATCCCACGAACAAGGTTCTAGGGACTACTTGCTTGGACCAGCAACTTACCCTTGGGCCTTGGACCAGCTTAGTTTCTAGCCAATAGACTTCTAAGTCCAAAGGCAGGAAATCGTGGTGTTCCCAGATCTGTTTGAGGCCCCCCCCCCCCCGAGTGCAAGAGTTGATTTAGAGTTGCTGGAGGGGATGATCCATGGTTCATACATTGGTGCGCCTTATTTCTTCCACTTGCTGCTTACAGCATTTGTTGCCCTCAGAAGGAACTCCTAGCTCATTGAGTTTTCTCACATTGAACTAGAGCATGTGGGCAAGTTCTTAAGCCAGATTTTTCAGTAGACAGCAAGAACCATCTCAAACCTTAACATTGCTCAGGCATGACTCATGCTCATGGACCATAGCGACATAAAGGCACACTGGAAGCCCATGCATGGCAAATGTCATCACCCAGATACCACACAGCTGCCTTTCTTTTATGGAAGATTTTTCTTATGACCTCTACAGGTCCCATTAAATAACAATAGAACTAAAAAGGGAGATAACTGAAATTGGAATAAAAAGCATTGCTAATGAAAACTAAACCAAAAAAAAAAAATAATTGCTCTTTCATTCAGCTGGATCTGACATAAATAGAATAGAACAGCAAGCTAAAATCAACAGGTAGACTGGGCAGGATAGGGGAAGATTGAGGCACCATCTGCAAATAATGTCCATGACAAATGAGACTGGCTCCTAGTTGACCTATTTTAAGCTTTACCATTTTTGCTTTTATTTTCTATATTTATACCTTACCTCTGGATCTAACATTATGAAGACTGGAAGTGATTAGATTAAAATCTTCTCAGCCTCCCTACAGTTTTTAAAACAGTGTGGCCCACAGAAATGGACTCAAAGTCACTCTTTCTGTGTTTGAGAAAGACAATGTGAAATTAATTGGCTTGAGAAATCTTAGTGTTGGAAGGGCTGCATGTGAGAGTTTTCATTTACACCATCCTAAAAGAGCTTCTCCACACAGGATGAGAGTACAGCCATCATGATGAGGAAAGGAGACGAAACAGAAAGGGAAGATTGTGTTTGAATAAAAAGGAAAAATAAAGAAAGTGAAGGCAGAATTGTCACAAAGTAACAGAGGTGGCCCAGCTACAGGTCCAGGATAGGTCTGTGGAGAAAAGACATGGCAGTGAGGCAGGACCAGCCTGCTTCTCTGATGAGAAGGAGAATTACCGCCAGGCTCATTATAATGATTCAATATATCACACCAATCACCTTGGACAGGTAGACTAGGAAAGACTAGAAACCCCTTGCCCATTTCAACCCAATTTTCCCGATGGTTCAATGAAGCTGCCCCAAGAACTATGAGCAAGACCCTGCCTGCACAGGATGACATGACTGTCACCACCAGCTCCTCTCCTGGCTGCATGTGAAATCACCACTTCCCACAGTCCCCAGCAAATTGTCTGCCATTCCTGCAGTGCTAGGGGCCATCAGACTTCCTCAGCTGCTCCCCAGGGACTCTGTCTCTGTCTGACACATGTTGGGTAGGACAGGATTCTCTCCTTAGCCAGTCTCATAAGTTACTTGAGTTTCTACTTCACTTCTCCCCCTCCCCCCATCCTTTTTATTCCCATGGAACAT